GTGTTCTAAAGTCGCTGCGCGGGCAATGTCCGTTATGAGCGCGATACGCAGAACGTTTATTCACTTGAATAAAGATGTCTTTGGCAAAGTATACGGGACATTTGTGCGGCCGCACCTGGAATATGCGGTACAGGCTTGGCGGCCGTGGCTTCCGAAGGATATAGATATCCTTGAAGGTGTACAACGGCGTGCTACAAAGGCTGTTCATGGCCTAAAAAACTTCACGTACGAGCAGCGCCTGACGGCCTTGAACCTCTATCCCCTCCACTACAGGCAGGACAGAGGTGACCTCATAGCAACGTTCCAGTTGGTAAAAGGACTTAATCTGGATGTCGGCTGGGAAACGTTTTTTGAAATGGCACCCAAGTCCAGTCTCAGACGACATGATTACCAGCTTAAAAAGGAACTGTGTCACACAAATCAACGTTCCTCCTTTTTCTCACAGAGGGTCATTCGCCAATGGAAATCTTTGCCGGAGTTTGTTGTTAATTCCCCTACGGTGAACGTGTTCAAGAGACAACTGGATACTCACCTGCTGAAAGGCAACCCAAACTGCCGAAGCCTGATCTAACGGATTATTGAAATGACTATAAATATACTACTAACATGATTTCAACAGATCCTATTTTTTGCGTCAAACTTAGCCCATATTGAAATTTTCACAGTCCGAATGCGGTGAACAAAGTTTTTCGCAATTATTTTGCGAATATAATACCCCTTTCACCTTTATGTTACATTATTAGATTTACGAATTCTCCCTACTAAAACTGCAAGCAAAAGCTTTGCAATTTAACTATTTTACTTTATACCTGTACCCTCTAAATGGAGTTTTCATGGCTTCTGTTGTTTACTCCAAATATACTGACTGATACTGACTACCCTGAATGACTCCACACCTCACACGTGTGGGGTTGGAGATGGTATTGAAAATCCTAACTCGTTGTGTGCGAGGGCCCAAATAAGAGGATATAAAATTCAAAAGTTTGCCACCTATTCCGAAAGAGGACATTTTCAAGAGGAGAAGAGCATGGTCAACACGGTCAAAAGCCCTAGTGAAATCGAAATATACTGCGTAAAGTGCAAAACCATTGTCCCTAGATTGGAGAACATAGTCAAAGAAAGAGAGTTGACAGGTGTCACAAGACCGAGCTTTGAGGAATCCATGCTGAGCAGCACTCTGTATGTTATTCACTGTTAAGTGACACATCATCTCATCTTTGATCAATGTCTCTAAGATCTTCGAAACTGCAGGAGGGTGTTTATTGGCCGAAAGTCATCAAATGACGTAGATTTGCCATGCCCAGGAATGTGCAAATTGTGTGATTTCTTCCACAAGGTAGGATAAGTTTAACTTTCAAGAGCAAGATTAAATATCTTGCATAAGAGAGATGGGAAGATAGTGTTTGCATCGGCTTTTATAATGCTTACAGGGACACCATCAGGTCCTGGACGAATAGTAACAGTCACATCCTACAGAGTGAAAGTTATAGTTTCTAGGACTGCCCCAGTCAGTGCCTGGATGGTCGGAAGCGGAGTGGTCGAGTTTTCAGTAAACGTTTTGGACAGGAAATCATTGAAGCTATCCGCGGTTAACTGGGCATCAACTATGGGATTTCCGAGATCCTCTCGAAGGATGGGATACTGCGTCTTTCTCTGAGTTCGTATTTTTCTAGAGAAAAGTTTCGAGACACTTAACGAATGGTTTTCGGTAAACTGGTTCTCCTCGGCTAGTTGTTTTTTATCAGACAATCTCTTAGCCCGCTCAAAAATATCACAAATCAAGGGCAGGACAGAAGCGTCGTTCTGAAGATGGAATTGACGAGAAAGTCTGCGCAATCTGCGGCGAAAGCGTAAGGGTAGGAAAATCTCATCCCCAAAATTAATAATTTTCTTACGGTGGATAAAAGGAGAAATAGGCGGATCCAAAATTTCGTACAGTTTTGCAGTGCAAACATTTACATCCGAACTAAGGAAAAACTCAGTCCAGTCGTAGGAATTCGGGTGTGTTAATAATTCGGTTGAGCGAGTTGATCGGAAATCGCGGAAAAAGTTACACTTTGGGAACAACGTTTTGTCAGCCTCGAATTCCAACGTTGAAACAACTATGTCATGGTCTGAGCCCCCTATGGGCCTAGGGATGACACCGACGATGGCATGCAGACTCTACAGAAAATTAGGTCAAGTATGCTTGAGCCTCGGGTGGGAAAATCGACAACCTGATTCCACATCCCAAAATCCACAGCCTCAAGAATGTCTTCGCACCTTCTTGGGCCTGAAGGCGGAGACCAGCGGATTTCAGGGAGATTTAAGTTTCCCGCAACCAATTGATACTTAAGGCTTGAGTCGGCCGCAGCATGAAATGCCTGTGAGAGTAAACGATCAAAATTATCGTTGGCGTTGGGAGGGCGATAGACGCAGCCAACGAGTAAGGAGAACTTATTTTTAGTTCAACTTGGAGCCAGCAGCTGCCTTCTACTGCGGAAAAATGCGGGAGGTCCAACGGCAAAAATGTAAGTTTTTGCTTAGCGTAGACGCAACTCCCCCCGCCGCGGCTATCTTGGCGATCATTTCGAATGCAATTATAGCCTAGAAGAGGGAGTTCGGAGTCAGCTACGGAGGCTGATGCCCACGTCTCAGTTACTAAAAAAATATCTGGACAATGGACGAACACCAGATTCTGAAGCAAAGGCATCTTATTAAGCAAGGATCTGACATTTAAAACAAAAAGTTTGAAGGGAAGGACAGTTTGTTTTTGAGGTAAGTGGGCTGCATCGTCCAGTGCTGGAACTATACTCCAGAAATCCCTGTTTTTATAATAGGGACAGCAGTAGACAGCTTACTGAGTAACTATCACTATCGTTTCTTTCACGAGGGCATATCTATTAGGAAATAGACATAACCCAATGAGATATCCTAGGGAAACATTAAAGCGTTGATCAGACGAATTTTAACTGTGGTTTCAAAAATTGTGAATCCAAGAAAACTTTTCCTCAGCAAGAACTAAGTCCTACTTATACCATTAACTTAGAAAATCTAGTTTAAACAGATGATTTTGCGGACTAGCCGGATGTTGCCTTAACTAAAATATAACCAGACATAGTTAAAATAAAACCTTATTAAATTCGGAATTGTTTCTATGCACAATTTTTGCATCGAGGCAATGCCGCTTGCACAGCAGAAAACTTATTTTTGGTCTCCGTTCGGAGTTCTGCCTTCAGTCCTGGTTCCCAAAATCGGTTGATTACTCAGATTACGGGAACAGTTGAACGTCAAATGTAAACAGCATTCGTTAACTTTGTACTCGCCTCGACGGTACATATACTGAAATTGGAACGATATATTCAATAGCTCTGAAGCACATCGGCAACGAAGGTATTTGAAAGCCTCGGATGTCCCACCGTCACTTAGGGGGAAAAAATGAAGACTTTAACGGCACGAATTTTGCAGTATACAGGATACTTTGTGCGGCTGATGGCGTGTTCTTCCAGCGCAAGCCCCTTTTCTCCTTCATCGACATCCACAATTGACGTAAAAGGCTCGTTTGTATACATGAGCTTAGCGAATGACCTTCCCATTGCGAATTACAGATCAGTTGATTCAGATGCCAGTGAGGCTGGTTACGCAGTCTGTGCTTACTGTAATCAACGATAGTTCTATTTTAATCTACGTATAAAGCAAAGTAAGGGATAATTTGCTTGCCGAAGCATAACTTTTCTCTGTTCACATCCACTTTCCGACAGAAAACCATCTTATCTACTGCCATTTAATACATATGGATATATTCATGGCGTTGGAGCTTTTTATTTAACTTTGAATCCCTGTCTTATCATTTCTTCAACCTGTTTTAGTGTTTTATGAGTTTATGTCTGCACTAGTTTGACATTTTTGGCAGTTTTGAACGCTTATTACGCACGTGTATGATGTTTCTTGTCCCATATTTTTACAATATACTTTCGGTGATTCCATCAGATAAGGAGTTCATAGGGGCACATCAAAATTTCTAATCTGAACCAGCAAGGGTCTTATCAGCACCTTGTCGGACATACATTCCCAGTTAGATGCCAGGACATCCGAAGCATTAACGTGATGCTACCGAAAGCCATAGTATCAGTCCCCGTAGCAGCTCTCCCCACCGACCTTTTTATTCCTCACTATCCGCTCAGCGACTCCTAATCTACTGCACACTTCCTACCTTTAAAGTCCTGCACGCTAAAGACTGCGCGTTACTAACCACACGTAACATTTTAGGCAAATTTCCAAACTGCCGAAAAATTCGTCTTGTAAAAGATCACTTTAAAATATTTACCGCTCTATAGTTGTTTTGATCACCGCTGTTTTACTATACTATAAAGGCGCCGCTCATCTCAGTTGCGCTCGGTCTGATCGCGTCTCGGTTTATTTGGATTTGGTGCGTGTATATAACATTACCTTTAAACTTTGCTCGTAGCAACTGTAAGTGGGTCTTTGTATATCAGTTTGTAGAGCGCCGAGTGTTCTGAAGCCGTGCCGCATATTGTTGAGGATTCGGCCGCTGTCGACATTAGCGAGTTTATTTGAGCGCTCGAAAACGCTTGCCTGTTTTTCCTCAATAGATTTAACGACTAGTAGTTCTTTCTGCTGTTAATACTACTCTACTTTGCCGACAATGGACTACCGGTAGGTCGCGTTGTGCCAATAAGTGACGTCGACGCCACGTCAGCGATCGCTGACGTCTCGCTGCACAAAACTCGACTCTAATAGCACACTCGTCCTGGGCTAGCCGTCGTAGTTAGTCTGTTGTTGGTTTTGTGATTGACTGGCTCTTATTTATATATCCTGCGAGGACAGTCCGTTGAGTGGTCCATTGTCGGGATTGACACAGTCTGTATCCAGTCAGCCAAACAGATCAATAGTCGCGCATAAGCCCGAAAATCTGTGTTGCCCGTGTAGGGCTAGACAGAGGCCAGTACTCTTAGCATTTTAATCTCGGAAGCAATTAGTACGGTGCTTTGAGGTAAATTCTGCTAAGTGAAGCTCTGTAGGTTCACTCCGGAGGTTGATATGAATAATTAAGCTAAAATCCATCAGCTACAGTGGGACGGCCGCGTAACATTCATGAACTGCCAACAAACAACTAGTAGTATACACATGTTGCTAGTACATAGTTAAATGACATAATTGTTTCTGAGTGTTCACTGAGTTTTAGACACGTTCGTTGTTCCAGGCAAAGCGTAAAACTGTCTGCGGTCCTATTTTTATATTTGCCCAGTTTCTTTCTGTCCGTGCATAAAACTGTATAACCGGTTTGATTTATTGAATAATTTTTCGCACTATCATCTCACTATATTGCCCTCATTCCTATGTTTGGTAAGGTCTTTGGGTATCTGCTTAAATGTTTATCTGTCGCACGAGTTGATCGTCCTTGTACACTTTGTGCCAGGGCAGTAGGCGTGATAATTTGTGTTTCAAAAATATATGTTCGGTTCATTTTGTGCTTTGACTTGTTTCTCCGTCTCGAGAGGCCCTTTTCACTTTCTTCAGCATGCTATAATAGGGTAGGCTCTTTAGAGTGCTCCGTTATTCTGACCCGCAACTTTGTTGAGGCAGTTCTTCATGTCATCGCTTTTAGCACAAGCTTTAGTGACGGTGCGTTCATTTTTGGGTGCAATCGCTTGCTTGCCGGAAATCGTAAGCTGTGAAACCCGCCTTCTACCCATCCCACACCTCGTCCATCATTCGTGTACCCACCCACCACTTTGCATGTTGACATGTCAGAAAACAAGAGATTTTCGCAATATTTACCGATGATCAGTTAAAAGCACCAAGATCGACCTCGGCCTTTAGTCGCCACTTAGCCTGTCCACATATACCATCTTTCGATAAGGTCATAAATTGAGTGAAGTAATACTGTCTCAACATCAGCATCGGGTCTTAAACTCAGCATAGGAAGAGGTACGCTTTTTTCCCTTCAAGATTTTCCTGAGTCCCGTTTAATATATTTTCCACTCTTCCCATTTCGATGACTCGTAGGATTTTGGCATGTCGTGTTTGTTCTCTTTCGGTCTGAAGTCTTCGTGCGTTTTCCAGGGGCCTCTAAAGAAGTTTATAGGGGGGTAAGAGTTTGGAAAGGCTGCGATAGCTCTTTTGTCATATTTTCAAAGTCGTTGACCTCAACCAGACGTTAACTCACCTAAATGCTTAACCTTTTATATTTCCTTGACCTAAGAAAGCTTCGTGGACAGTCTCTATTACTGATCAGAAGAAGAAGCGATCGCTGGAACAATGGCTTTATTCGCCTGACGTTTCGGATTCTCTCTTGAATCCATCATCAGAGACAGTTGCAGAAAAGGGTGGCTAGTGTACAGGCAGTCGCAGTATTTATAGGATGCGGTCGCCATGCTACCGCATACCTACAGCTGTAGGTATGCGGTAGCATGGCGACCGCATCCTATAAATACTGCGACTGCCTGTACACTAGCCACCCTTTTCTGCAACTGTCTCTGATGATGGATTCAAGAGAGAATCCGAAACGTCAGGCGAATAAAGCCATTGTTCCAGCGATCGCTTCTTCTTCTGATCAACTAGTTCCTGGAACTCGCATTTTCGCTTGTATCGGCAGTCTCTATTACTGTCGTTCTAACCATATAGGGCTTCTGCGCGGAGACAACACTGACTGTCGCAGAAAACCAAGTAATGACTGAACTCACTCAGACGTACGCTTTTCCCACAGTAATATGTAGCGTAAAAATTGCATTACTGCCCTTCCTGACTAAAGCAGTGGTGTGTCAAAGGCACTTTTCCCTCTGGCATTATAGGTTATTGCTCGAGCTCTGCCTGGAACACATTTGACAGCAGTCTTAAGGATAATAAGAGCTCCGGAGGATTGGCCATAATTCGAACCTATGACACTTCTGTGGAGTTTCCCCAGCAGACTGACAGATTGACGATTATATCTATACCTCAAATCAACGTATTCGCATCTGCTCACGAAACAAAAATGCGTATTCCTGGGCATAACTGAGAAGATAAGTCGATTACCGAACTAAAGTTTAAAGAGTAAACCTTCAGCCTAAATCATTGATTTACTGCTGTATGCAAACCTCAATTCGGAAGAAATCTTATTTGTAACCAAATCCACGGTTCAATAAAGTTAGCCGTGGATATCCAGCTTTTTGCAGTACTTTTTGGAGACCGATTGTCTGAAGACGGCTCTTCGCTGGATGCCAGGGAGTAGCGATTTCCTTGAGTTTTTCTGGGCCATGCCTTACATCAGACGTTTCTACGACTAACTGAAATAGGTTGTCTAATCCCTTTCTAATGCTCAGGCTTCTCTAGCTTTACTGCTTGTTGTCTGGTTGACGCCTTCCCTACTAAGTTATTAATTTTTCCACTTAAAAAAACAACGTTGCTCGCCAGAATAGGAGTTCGGTAGTTCTGATAAGGTGTAAAACTGATAAACGACGATGTTTTACACGCGCTGACTGTTCGTTTGCAGATTTTTTACACGCTCATTGTTGTTAGGTAAGAAGACTGAGTTACAGATGATACGAAATAAGCCTTCCCACAAACAGTTGTTACGTTCGACCCCTCCAGTAATGTGTCAGATACTTAAGACAGTTTGTTCTATGAGCTAGAAGTTCGGTTGGTGGGTGTCAGTTCCGTACTACGTCTTCACAAGATCGTTTATATGAATAAGATCACGAGTCACTTTCGGGATAATCAACAAGTGTTATCAACACGACCCTTTTCCGACGTATCCGTTTCCTAGATCGGCTGGAACGATTTCCTGCTATTCTATCATATACGCCCTCGCACTCACGATGACCTAATGTCCTATTTTTTTAAAAAAAACGTTGCATTCTTTTGTTCCATGGAAAGGAAACAAGCAAACGTGTCTTCCCTCTCTATTTTTGTATCTTACGCGGTCCTTCTTACTTTATGTTGACAGTGTGACTGCTTCAAAATGTTATCGTGCCCGTTCTTGAAAAAAGCGCCTGCTGCGTTCTTCCAGAAGGAACCACAAACACTCCTGACAACCGCTCTTCGATGCCCATTCGCTCAGCGTGTTCTGTCACAGCTCCCGACCGAGCCGGTCCGGACGGTGCAGACTGCTGCCGCGACAGAGAAGTGTGAGAGGCCGTATCCACCCGTTTGCGGTATGTTTGTCAGTTTCTCCGCATTTGAGCGTGTGTTAGTTAGGTAGTGCAGATACAACGAGACTCGTGTCGTTTTTCTATTCGACTAGAAAGCTGATCGTAGATCGGAAGTGTTTCTGTGTGGCACGTTATCCATATTTATAGTTTGTACCCGTTAGAACGATTTGACATGTGCCCTTATAGTTTTGCCAGAACTTATGGAACCGACTCGGAGCAGTCTTTGGAGCGGAAAATTAGGGTTCAGCCAAATTTCATGCAAACATCCGAATTGAAGACGAGCAACTTAGGCAGAGTAGTCGCTTATTGTTCAAACTAACCGAGGAATCGCGTCAACAGGCCTCCACCACCATTACCTGCCAATAACTCTGATGCGTCTTTCTCTGATTGTTGATAATGCAGTTTCGTCGAAAGGCTGTCAACTTCTGCGTAAATAACCCGTTATGTCTTCAAGAGTCTTCGGAATGAACCTCAACAGTTCTGTTTCGGAGACCGCTCTGAGTTTATCCAACGTTTCCTGAGAAACTGTGTTGTGGTGTTTAGAATACTTCCAAAAGCAACCTGAGAGAACGATATACGCAGTCGTGAAAAACCCGCGAAGTTTGCCAGAGTCTGTAGACGTGAATAACCTACACTGACAATTGCTATTGGCGTACATACATTGTTAACCAGCTTCACTCTGTTATGTATGGAGTCAATAGTGTCTAGCTAATCGGCGATTTTAAGACATCCTACAGGTACTTTCTGATAGCCGCAGTAATGGACACGGAAGGGTCCCCCTAGTGTCTCTATGGTGCTTATTCGGATTTTTTGGTATATTTTAGATGTAAATCAAAGAGACTAGGGTAAACGACAATATTTCAGGGCGGTTGTTCGTCGGTGTTGTCTGATTCCAGAAGGACTTAAAGATAGGTCACTAATCTGACGTTCCTGCGAGCTGAGTCACATGTCAATGCGCTGTCGACTGTGATAGCCGATATCCAGTCGCGTGGGAGTAACGCTCACCGATCGCATTTTGTTACACAACGGATCCACCTCCCAGACCTTCTTGGCCTTGGGCCGCATTGTTGCTGGTTAACGACAACTAAACCAGAAATGACCGTGCCAGTCATCCTTGCATTTTTCGTCGAAACGGTTTAGTCGAGACAAGACTCTGCCCACAACAATCTCGAGCATGGGCTTGCGGTATTGCTGGGCTCCTATTACAGTCAGGCTAAAGGATTTCGCCCAAAGATGTGCTCAATGCAACAGTCTTCAGACCAAGATCCCGGCGCCGTATCGCTGTCAGAGCATCTACTTTTACCGTTTTTTGAAGGGTGCCAACGGCTGCCTACCCCTCTCCTCCCCCTCCCGTAGGCCAAGCCTCCTTCACAAACACCCGCACTCTAGCTGGAATGGGCTTTACGGAGAAGATGGTTATCCGATTGTCTCGTGCGATAGTTCAATTGGAGCTCGCAGAACAGGACCAATGTTGGGCAAATGCAATACATGGGAGTGTAGTAGCACGCCTAGACGCAGGCTCACGCCATGTCAGCCACCTTCGTTCGATCCCGCCTCCGGTCTTGGTCCTGTCTTGACGCCGGGCCTATGGGGTAAGGGGGGGGAGAAAGTGCAGTAGATGCAGCGCAAGTCACCGTTCCTGGAGCTCTCAGAACAGGACCAATACTGGGTACCCATGTATGCCGAAACAAACCTCTAGGATGCCTACAATCCGCCTGATCATAGAAAGTAGTTAAGACTGCTAACGTCAACACCCTCGGCATCAACTGCAGTACGTCTATCATTCACACAGAGAATTGGCCCGTATACGTCTGCTTTAGTTTACCCAGGTGGGCTTGGTATGTGCTCTATCCAGTTGCTATTCTTAGGATTAATTTGGAACATGGGTGGAGGGGAGACCGCGACCAGATCATAAGTTCAATGTATTGTTTTGACTAGGTCAATGGCCTGTTTGCTCTGCTGTTGCCACTTACTTACTCTGTAACCATGTATCGGGTCGAAGACGTCTGGTTCATTAGCAGCTTGAAAACAGTCTGACAGCATAGATACTAGCTCGACAGTTCGACCGTCGTTACCGACGATGTCCACCGTGTGTCTCACAGCAAGGTGGGCTCAGAAACGGGGACTTGTGCTTGAACTAGATTATAGTGGCAGTAGATTTGCGCTGCATATACCGCACTTTCCCCCCCCCCCCTATCCCATAGGCCCGGCGTCAAGATAGGATCAAGACCGGAGGCTGGATCAGGCGAAGGTTGCTGACACGGTGTGAGCCTGCACCTAGGCGTACTACTACTACTACTACTACTACTACTACTACTACTACTACTACTACTACTACTACTACTACTACTACTACTACTACTGCTTCTACTACTACTACACCCCCATGTATAGCATTTGCTGTGGGTCCGCGGCCCAATAACGCGTGCCATACCCTGACCTGCCCCCCCCTTTGTTGGTCCAACACAACTCCCGCACGGCCCATTTTATGGGCGCACAGGTACTAGCTAAAAGCCCAGCCAGGCGTGTTTCGCTGGTCTTGTGCGGCCGCTTGATGCAGCTGCTAGGGGTCCGGCTTATCAGTGGCTCCAGCCTCCCCCATGTACTTTTTGGAATATGAACTCCGGTTTCCATGCTGTTTAGACCGTCTCCAAAAATCGAGATTAATATTTCAGCTTATTTACCCCAAGTTCGCGAGTTAATTTCCGAGGAAAGGCAAAAGTCTAACATCTTGTTACAGTGTCCCCTTACCAACTCACTTGTTGGGAGTTAATTCTCTAAGGTGAAATGGGTTTAGAGTATGATTGTGCCGGCAGACCACATTCCTCCAGGAATATTTCATCCTCGTCCCAACTGTTTCGGCCTCCTCCTCCTCCCCCGCACGAATCACACAGAAATCCTAAACATAGTAGCCGTTGGCTCTCACACCACGCCCTTCAATAGATCTTCTTAGCGGCTGCTTTGTTTCCAATTTATTTGCTTCTTCACCTATCATCGTTCCACGTTGATGACTCCCTAGCATTCTCTTGCCTTCCACCGAGCAGGAGCTTGGTTTTTGTTTTGGGAAATTCCCCTCTTACATGGCAGTTTTAGTTTTATAACGTAAACCATGAGAATTCGAATACATACAGCCAGAAAAGTTCACCTTCTGAAATGTACTCCAGACGTCGTCCAATACTCATACAGCTGGCGGGGCGGGGCTTTTCTCGCTGTGTGGATTCGCGTTTTTACGGTCTGCCTCGTAAAATGATAACTGTGCCAAAGTTGAGTTAAGCACTACTGCCAATTTTATCTTTCTCTGATGTTTGCTACTGTTTTTGTCGTAGATACGGTATCGGACTGCATCCTCAAGAAATGCCCGTACGCAGGCCAGGTGGAGCGTTGTTCCTCACTCAGGTCCGTGGATGAGAGCCGGCAACCGCCTGTGCAGACCGAATTTGGTAAGGTGGTCTCAGACCAGCTGTTTTGCTGTGCTGTGACGGACGTTTATTGCACCTTCTAGCCAAGCTAATGTTTGATTAGGCAGTCCCGTGCCGAACTTTCTGATGCGTTCCTATCATCTCTAGACTATTTCTATGCGAAAGTTAAGTACAGGAAACTGCCCTCACCCTCTCTGCATTAACATCATGCTAAAAGTTCAAGGTCGAATCAAAGCCACCAGAGGTGAGATGGGCAGATGCAGTTGGCAGTCATTGGGCACCCCTCCTACGCATGTTCCACCCATGACGTTAAGTCAGCCAAACCGAACAAAGCAATTCCGCTTGGACGCCTGTTCGCCACAGAATTTTCATCGCGTTCTGCTCGGACTCCACAACAGTACAAGTTTTGAGGGCCATTCGGAACGATAGTTCCACCACTGCGAACAGGTAAACCAAGTTCCACCTCACGAGGTGAGCCCAGCGCTGGCCTGTGCGTGAACCTTAGTAATGCTGACTTTCGAAGCATCCTTCTCACTTGTCCCACTTCCACCGCCGTCGTCAATACGATCGAGTGTGGGCGTGGGTGTAGTGGCCCACAATGCCAAGGAGCTCGGTGACGCGTGCCGCGTGTGGCCTGCTTCCCAACACCATATGCACCAGATTTTATTTAAAGGGAGTCACTGATCTCACGCAAGTGGAAGTAATGTTGCAGCCCGGCACTCAATCCCGAGTAGAACCGAGTCACCCTGTCATTTGGCAACTCTGCCGCGTCATGACAGTTCGACTGTCGATTCCGACAATGTCCGCCGTGTGCTACACAGCAAGATGCAGCAGGTACGGTGACTTACGCGTTGATCAGTTTATATTGAGGGTGGACTTGCGCAGCATCTACCGCACGCTCCTCCCCCCCACACCGGTGTCAGGACAGAGTCAAGAAGACTGTAGGCGGGGGGGAGCTCAGGTGGCTGACACGGCCGGACTCGCACCTAGGCGTGTCACCACACCCCCTGGTCTACAGCATACACTTGACCAACAACAACACCCCAACAGGGGGTCAGAAGGATGAGGACGAGAACTGGGCAGCTATGCCCAACACCTGTATACCCAACGGGAGCACAAGCGTATCAACCAGCAGGGAACTGCCAGCGCATACCAGACTGCGAGGGCCATGGTTTGCTGATGCTGGCCTGGCAAATGCTTTCAGATCTTTTGACCCCATCACGTTATAATAGATTCAAGAGCGTCAGGTTTGTTCTTAGGAGTGAATGCGCTGATTTGCGCATCACTGGACCATCCGTAGATACCCGTTGCGTCGCCTCCCTCCTTCGTTTTGAGACATTGTAATGTCTCCTAACTGATCAGAATCTGTAAGTTTTTAAAGTATCAATTAATTTGCAGAAACAGTCACCTTGACGTATGAGAGCTTGGTGAATAAAGTCGTCAGAGCCTTAGAATATTTAAGTAATCTTCTCACGCTAATGATTTTCTCTCTGTGTGAGGTCCCTTTATACCTCAGCTTGACTTAATTGACTTTCCTAACAAACACTATTTCTTTGTCCAACGATAAATAAACGAATAGGCCAGTTCATTTTTTGAATACTGGATAAGGCTGCTAGCCCCCCCCCCTGGCGTGGTTCTCGTCGAGCCGTCGTGTTTTTTCAAAATTAATTTGAGAATACACACTAGTCATTCGAATGCCTTCTTAATATTCCGGGCATTGTTCTGGTCACAGGTAACGAATGCGACTTATAATGTGTCGCCGACAAACGCGGGGAAGACCAAAATGTCAGTTTCTGGCTCGTTGGCTGTCGTCAGCCAGCCCTACCTAACCCAAGGCACATCGGGATGAGTACGTTCCGCAATCCCTCTATCATAATACAGCTTACCACCACTCTCAGCTAAAAGATAATGGACACGACAGTTCGACCGTCGATTCCGACGATGTCCACCGTGTGCTACACAGTACTAGACACACTCGGCCGATAAAGAGACGTAAAATATTGACCGACTTCCACAACTGCGAACACTTTGGACGACATCTCAGATGTACAGCATTCTCAAAAAAATCAGAAGAGAGGATGATGGTTGTTAGATACGTTCTCCCAGCAAACTACTTCTTGTGCGTTATTTTTGAGATTTCAAGCAGTCAGTTCGAAGCGGCATTTTCGCCTGCTTATGCTGGATAGATTCAGCTGAGCACAAGACGGGAAGACTTCACTTAATCGGATACGGATACTACTTAGTATTCGTCTCCCTGCGTCTAAAAGAGTTCTTTCTGACTTTGCGAAAGGTATCTACTATTACACGGGATTAGCCCTCTACGATCGCCAGCCCGCAAATGATAGAAAGTGCTGCCGAAGGATCGAAGGCCGCTCACTGCCACTGTTCATCCTCACCCAGTACGATTGTCAATCCAGTGAGAGAAAGACGAGAACGAGTTTTTGTTCTCCTGTTCTTCATTCAGGGGAGGCTGAGTATGCGCAAGCTGCCATTACATCCATGGGACAATACCTGTCTGCTTTCCCTGCGGACGAACAAACTGCTAAAACTGGTGCGATCTTGTGCACGATAGAGTCACCATTCAAAGGATGGACAGATAAGGTGATTGCGGTCACAACCAGTGAGCCCTATTGGCTGAGACGACACAAGTTCAGATCAGGGGTAATGAGACAATGCGTACCCGACTTTCTTGAGTGAATTGCTCTGCGGCAAGTGTTTTCTGATGTTCCCACTAACGTAGCCATCTGTGCTTCTTTCATTGGCCCTCTAGGCGGCACCAGGATTCCCACTACGTGTGCTCTCTTTCCCTGTTCGAATCAGTACGCCCCGAAACCCATATACGTCACTCCTGTCTCGCCTACTGCATCAGCTCCTAAGATGGCAGAGAAGCGACAGTTCTTCGACTTTGACGGCTTCTTCGCAGATCAAATTGACAAAAAGAGGTCAACCTCAACATATAGGGTCTTTAGAAGGATTCTGCGAGATGCCAACGAGTACCCCTTCGCTGATGAATTCTCCAATGATGAGCGCCGCCGAATCACGGTCTGGTGTTCCAACGATTACCTGGGCATGAGCAGACATCCCAAGGTCCAGGAGTCGGCAAGGTGATTTGTTGGTTTTATGTCTCAACCAGATGTATGCCTTTTGCATGTTTTTAGTTGACCGTTTGGGCTGGACCACAGTTGGTGTTTCTCATACCCATCTGTCTCCAGAGCCGACCCGGCCACTGGTCACTTCTATAGACAGGAGTATAAGTGAACAAGAAGAAGAGGAGTCGAGCACCGAAACATTTTTTTATTGCCCCGAGCTTTCGGCCTCGTGCAGCAGTCCATCGTCAGAGGTAGTAGCAGCAACAGAACAAGCGACAATTATAGGCCAATCACCGAACGACTGCGCAGGATTCTGTACGCCGTCTCCAGATGGATAAATCGATTGACCCGAGTTCTCGTCCGAGGCCCAGGCTTTAGTCAATTTTCGGCCTGTTTTGTTTCCGATGTGGGCGGCCACTTGTGATAATGCGTCGCCTCGTCACACAGCTAGTTTGTGTTCGTGCATGCGCGGTCTGAGCATGCGTCCAGTCTGGCCTGTGTAGTCACAAGAACAGTTTGGACACGGGATGCGATACACAACTCCAGACTGCTCTTCAGGCTTTAACCGGTCTTTGATTTTCATGACTGTTGCGCATGGTGACCTTGGGGCGGTGTGCAATTCCAACACCTAGCTCCGCCGCAATGCTTTCGGTCGCTTCCGAAACACCTTTGATGTATGACATTGAATGCCATATCGTCGGTGGTGTTGTTGTTCGTGTCCTCTTGGGGGCGACCGCGTAGGCAGCGACTTATGAATGCCCTCAGATAGCAATTTAGCAAAAACTGGTCGCGGAGATAACGGGCCTCGCGCGCTCTGTCCTCTAATTTGCTGCACTGAGTTGGAATCCGTTTGAAGAGTGTCTTCACACAGCTTCGTTTGTAAGCCACCGAATAGTTGCTGTGAAAACTGAGAAGCTGTGTGGTGTTCGCTGCCTTCCTATAAACTGTCGTTTAAAGTTCACCGTTAAGGTTTCGTCTGACAAGTACATTCAGGAAGGGCGACTGCTGTTCCTGTTCCGGTTTTTCTTATGCATACATCTGGAATTCGAAATTTCGCCGTCAGACAGGAGTATGCATGATCTCTTGTGCCTTCTGTTTATTCGTTCGTCACCTTGGAGAATCATGTCTGACGCATGACACTTAGGTTTTAATCCGGGCCTGCGAGCGTTCAAGTGGATCCGAGTCATTGCCGCATACAGATCATGCATGTGGTCTCCCGGCTTTCTCATGGTCACAGTCATCGCCATCCTGGATCGGGCCGTACCTTGCGAAATAAGACAGCGGCTGGTCTCCTCTGAATGTCATGTCTAGTCACTGAATTCCCGCCTGCTAGGTAGGGGGATTCGCCTAAATTTGCGCAAATGGGCCTTCTTGAGTACAGCATGATAAAAGTAAAGAATAGATGGGAGGATTCAAACACCTTTAGTTGATGCTTTTGCGCTCCCACGTTGTAGATGCGCGGAGCAACACGGGACCATATCGGACTCTGCCAGGAGTTATCGAAATGCACACCATAACATTTGTCAACATTTCGGGGTGCGATGGCAGACCCAGTTGCCGGCTGACGTCGCGTACCCTAGGACCCCTGCCGCCCCCCATGCTTGTTGTTAATTAAAATCCTGGTCGTTTGCTGTGTGGACCAGGGGATGTGGTGTGGAGCGCCATCCACTTGCACCCTCAGCCGCCCCCGGTCATTTTGTCTATGTCTTGACACCGGGTCTAGGTGGTGGGGGAACTGCAGAGGCCCACCATCACCATAAACTAATTCCCAGCCAAGTCACCGTGCCTGTGGCAACGACGGTCGAACTGTCGGTTATAAAGGCATATTATTTGCATGTTAATCTCAAAGGCATCTGGTAGACTATCAGCCGGCAACGGCCTTATGAGTCGCTCAGGGGGGTGACGTTCACTGATTACTTAATGCTACGCAACTGCCTTTCAGGATTACAGATTGAACCTCAAGGCGCAACGGGCCAAGCATGTCTCGTAACTCGATCGGTGAATTCCTCCCACCGTAGTTTACCGATCTGCTCTGACCTCAGGCGATTCAGCTATGACCCGAGTTCAGGTCAAGAGTCTACACAGACGGTCGCACAACGGCGATCAGTCAGTGGCAGAGGGGCATTACACTCAAGACCATAGGGGATTGAATTGGCTTCTTCTGGCGTATTTGCCATCGCCAGCGAGCCATAACCGAACTCCCTCAGCGTGATCCCATTTTGTAGACGTTCACTTCCCATTTCTCGCCTTGTGTGTACCAGCCGGCAATTTGATAAATTTTACGTACCAACAAAGAACAGGGTGACCAGCGATCGCCACTAGCCGTTCTCAGCCAGTCCTGCGCAAACCCCGGGTTTTCAGGACTTGCGGCCCGAACCCGCCTTCCTGGGTCGTTGGGCGTTAGGAAGCCCAACGCCCTGCCATCTGAGTTGTCGGTTGTGATGGGGCGTATTCGCTAGCTTCTCCCTTTCATTGCTTTCGATTATATGCCTCATTAGTCTTGTTTTAGCTTCTTTCCAGACCAACTTAGCATTCACCGGATTGTAGACGTGGAAGCATCAAGCTGACTGGGAAGGGGAGGGGGGTTATTACTAGTTTACTGTGTCGACTGAGTTAAATTAGGAGTATTTTCAACTTTCCCCGCCCAAATTCTAGTTCCTTGCTTGTATTTCATTCACCTGGGATTGTCCTCGTCCATCGCCCTCCCCCCGCCGCCCCTCACCTTTCGTGTTCTCACGACTGTAGGAATGCCATTAGGCGTTTCGGTGTCGGTTCGGGCGGAACACGCAACATCTCCGGAAACTCCCTCCTCCATGAGGCCCTCGAGCACGAATTAGCCGACCTGCATGGCAAGGAGGCGGCTCTGGTCTTCTCCAGCTGTTACGTTGCTAACGAGGCCACACTGTACACCCTCGGCACGTCCATTCCCGACCTGCAGATTCTCTCTGACGCGGGAAATCACGCCTCGATGATACACGGCATACGTACCAGTCGGGCCGCCAAGCACATCTACCGGCACAACGATCCGAACCACTTGAAGGAGCTCATCCGTAAGATGCCTCCGGAGTTGCCAAAGTTGGTCGCCTTCGAGACGGTGCATTCGATGACAGGTTAGATGGCTGCATTTTCTCGAGATTTTGCGTGATCCCATTCAGATTGGCGAAAGGTGCTGCACCGGTGCCGCTCCAGTAACTCCCAAAACTCGTAGAGCATACAGGGGGACAGAGGGGGGGAGGGTTAGTTGCTTCTCTCCCAGATGCACTGTCGGAACTTCAGTACAGCGGTCTGCTTTTGGTTCATCAGCTCTAAGTGTCTGCGCGCTGATTGCACTAACAAGCGCTGGTCGGGCATATATTTGCATGAACTAACTGTAGCCAGTCTCCCACCATCTCGCTGTCCTCTGCATGTCAAAAACTATTACGCGCAAATAGTTTTGGTCATGGTTTGCTTCGGAAACAGAGTCCTGCGGAGCAGCAGTTTGACCGCCGTAAGCGACACTGTACCGCGTTCCCTACGGAGTGAGCACGACAGCGGTGACGTGCGCGCGTGCGAATCACTTTATAGGGAGACGGACTTGCGAAGAATCTATCGCACTCCCTCCTGCATCATCAGCCTTGCTCCGGTGTAACGATGACCGGAGGTGGATGCGGGCGCTGTGACCACTCACTGCTGGCCCCCACAACATGCACTAGGCTACTGTAAAGGCAGCTGAGATCTCGCATCCATGAGAGTGCCATAAAGGCTACATTGGGAGGAAACCGTTACAATCACTCCCTGCAGATTGAAAGCAATACAACCAGCTTGACTGTTTCCATTGCGGACCGTGTTTTCCGATCTATGCAATTTATGTGAATTCTACAGTTTGAACGTCCATCCCCCCTTTTCTTACTGTGTCATCGGCTTTTTTTTCACACAGGTGGGATTTGTCCAATTACCGAACTGCTAGAAGTGACTCAACGCCACAACGCCCTCTCCTTCGTTGATGAGGTACATGCTGTCGGTTTGTACGGACAGCATGGTGCTGGGGTGGCCGAGGAGGTTGGCTGCATGAGTCAAATTAACGCAATCACCGGTACTCTGGGCAAGGTATGTCGGCTCCCAACCTGCCTACATATGCTCTGTTTCCTCCTCTTGTTCTTTCGCTTGTGTTATTACGCTTCCGTTCCGGGTGTAAAGCGCCTAAATGATTTCGCCCAACCTTGAATGTCGTGCTACGTTTCCTACATAACTTGCAGGACCAGAGGTAGCAGTATTCAGGCACACATGTCTTGTGTTTAAGAAGGCAAGTTTTCAGTCTTGAAAAACTTGATCTAGGGACCTTTAGGGACGCATCACTGAATATGCTCGCAGACTGTGTCCGCAGGTTTCTTAAGCACTCCTACAGGCCAGGTGTTGATGGTGTTATGCGGCTGTGGGTACCAGCTAAAGGGCTATCATTATGTCCTGCTCTCCGCAGACTACATGTCTTACTTTCATATATGGCTGTTTGCAAATGATGCCTCACGTTAGTTCTCCAGCGAAATTCTCATGCATTCGAGGTCGGGGCGGCTTATCTTTCATGCCTCCGGCACGTAGAGCGGTCAGATGTACAGTAGGCGGGCTAACTCATGAAATGCCAACCGGAATTCTGAAGTGCGTTTTCGTTTCGAAAGGATTAATTAAGTAGGGCTGTAGAACTAGTCAGCCTGCAACATCATTCTACAAAATTCCAGTTACCTCCGGGTGCCGGCTTTCAAATGGACTTCCTTCCGGCTGTAAAAGAATGACTACATAAGTAGCATGAATTTTTCTCATTGATTTTCTATGCCCCTAAAAGTCCAACTATATTTCATGGAAAACATGCATAAAAATATTCATTCTTTTGTTCATTTGGTAGATAATTACGTCTTCTTCTAATTTTATACCCGAAGAAGGAACATAATTCGGTTTTAAAAAGGTTCCCAATTCCCGAATAATTTTGAACCCGCTCTACCGTTACACTTGGATTCGGGGTTTCCAAACTACAAGCCGTATATTTTCCGCGTACAGAAAACCACACATTTCTCTACAGTAATAAAGGGGGATCATATAGGGTTTATAAAATTAAGCAGTGGATTTGAGCCATATCGTTAACTTTACAAGACACATTGGTAAGTGCAGAGATATGACGATTTACGAACTGCCATTTCACGGTATTTAAAAGTCCCACAATGAGAACCTTTTTTAAAACCGAATTATGTCCTTCCTTCGAGTGTACGATTGGAAGAGGACGTACTTGTCTACCGAATCAGCAAAAGAATGAATATTTTTATGCATGTTTTCCATGGAATATAATTGACTTTTTTAGGGGCATCGAAAATCAATTAGAAAAATGCATACTACTTAAGTAGTCGTTTTTACAGAGTGTAGCTTTTTGCATGCATGCAAAAACTACTACAGTTAGGGCTATGTCTAAGACCTACAGTTATATTTACGATTTCGGTTAGGGTTAGAGTTAAGGTTGCCGTTAGGGCTAACGGTTAAGGTTAGGGTTAAGGTCGCCGTCCGCTTCCCCATTCCTGGCTACCAACTGCGATCTAGCCTGTGCGCTGCCTCCGCTATGTGGAGCCAAAGCATGCCTCATTGACCTATACAGCCCACTTCACCGTCCCCCCATCTTCTCTCCTCTAGGCCTTCGCAAGCTTCGGCGGCTACCTGGCTGGCAGTCGCCTGTTGGTGGATATGCTTCGTTCATACGCCAGCGGTTTCATCTTCACCACGTCTCTGCCGCCGCCTGTGCTGGCCGCCGCGAGGGCCAGTATTGCCATCTTGAGGTCCTCCGAGGGTCAGGAGTTGCGTGCTGAGCACAGACGACGTGTGGCCATGGTGCGCAATCGCCTCTTCGAGGCTGGCCTGCCTGTCGTGGACGTGCCCTCGCATATCATACCAGTCAGGGTGAGTGTTTCTGGGCGCTTTTTTGCAGCTAGCCTGGGGAAGGAGGGGCCGTTCAACTGTTGCGAACGATGTTATCCACCGCGTTCCCCACGGAATGGACGCCAGACGATGACTTGCGCACAAACTGCAGCATATGACCTAACTGTCCCTAAAATAGTCCACGCAGTATACAGTGCGTGACTGATCTCATGAAATGTTGGCCAACATTCTGGAATGCCTTTCCGATTGGGAAGGATTACTTAAGTGGGGTTGTGATACTGGTTATCATGCAGCATAACCCTATAAGATATCGGACTCGCCAGGAGGTTGGCTTTTGAATGCACTTCTTTTCGACCTCCTACAGAAACCACACTCTGTAAAAAATGATTGCTTAAGTCATATTGACCCAACTGTGAAAAACTCGGCGCCTCGGTGGGATTCGAACCCACGCAGTAAGGGGAAGGCTTTAGTACAGCCAACGCTCTAACCACTTGAGCTTCGAGGCCCCGCCGGACGACGCGAGTTTAATCATATTTGGGTCAAGTTACCCGCCCAACCTACTGCAACGTCTGGAATCCACCAAATCTGATACAGTAAGTTGACTGCCCAAGCAGGGTTTCCTAAGTAACTTGACCCAAATATGATTAAACTCGAGTCGTCCGGCGGGGCCTCGTAGCTCAAGTGGTTAGAGCGTTGGCTGTACTAAAGCCCTCCCCTTACTACGTGGGTTCGAATCCCACCGAGGCGCCGAGTTTTTCACAGTTGGGTCAATATGAACTATTCAAAATCTGCCAAAATATCTATGGATTACCTAAGTGGCATGCATTTTTCCTATTGATTTTCGAAAGTCTTATAAATTCAAATATATTTCTTAGAAAACATGCACCAAAATATGTTTTATTTTGCTCATTTTATAAGTAATCACATTCTCTTTATATTTTATGCCCGAAGAAAGTGTATACTTAGGTTTTTAAAATGTTTCCCAATTCCCGAATCATTTTCAGCCTGATCTGCCATTGCATCAGCGTTTAGCAATTTCAGTCTACAAGGAACACGCTTTCCGCGTAAGGAAAATCATATATTCTTCTATGCCTTTAAGAAAATACCACATAGAGTTCATGAAATTTTGCAATGGATCCGGACTGTGTTGTATATTTCATGAGGAGCATTAGTAAACGGTCATGTGCGGTCATCGCACATCGCACGGTCTTAAAAATCTCATAATTAGAAACTTTTTTGAAACCGAAATATGCACTTTCTTCGGGCATAAAATATGAAGACAATGTGATTTCCTACTAAATGATCAAAAGAGAGCATATTTTGCGCATGTTTTCTGTAAAATATATTTGAATTTATAAGACCATCGAAAATCAATAGCAACAATGCATGCTACTTAAGTAATCATTTTTTACAGAGTGTGGTTTCTGTATGAGGTCAAAAAGAAGTGCATTCAAAAGCCGACCTCCTGGCGAGTCCGATATATTATAGGGTTATGCTGCATGATAATCAGTATCACAACCCCACTTAAGTAATCCTTCCTAATCGGAAAGGCATTCCAGAATGCTGGCCAACATTTCATGAGATCGGTCACGCACTGTATGCCCCAGGGGGGGGGGGGGGCTAGATTGGAGTCCGGGACGTGTTATCAGCAATGCGCACTCATAACAGATGCCAACACTGGAGGTGTGGTGGCAGACCCATTTGCAGACGCACGCCGCGCTAATTGGGATTCCTTCCGCCCCCCCTCATTTTTGTTGTTGAAAATCCTGGTCACGCATTTTTGTGAACCAGGGAGTGTGATGGTTTGCCTAGGTGCGAGACTTCACCGTGCCAGCAACCCACCTCCTAACTCCGGTCTTCGAGGAGAAGAATAGACTCTGGTAGATGCTGCACTACCAATATCCACCGTGTGCTCCACAGCACACGGTGGATATATTCACCTACAGATTTGTTAACATCCAAAGGCTGAAGGAAGGCTTTCCGCAACGCTTTTTTTAGCGGTATCTTCCCAGCGGTCCGCCAAATCAGGTTATCTGAAACTCTAGGACTGTCACTGCGTGTGTCCTGAAGCCTTGACTTAAATGACCTGGATACGGAAAATCGCTGAAATATTTTATTTTTGTAGTTCATTTGATACAGAAAAGGTCAGGGCAACCTCCTTCCCTCGTTTTGTCCTTATATGGTTCAAGTGACACCCCAGCTCGTACCAAAGGCGTCACTGGAAACAGAACCGAGTTTTTGGAGTGCAGACAACATTAACTGCGGCATACAACCTAACTGTTCCCTAAAAGGGGCCACGCGGTATATGCGCTAGATCAACACGATCCGGCGCGTGCTATCAGGAATGCGTACCCATAACAATTTCCAACATTGAGGAATTAGGATTCCTTCCGCCCCCATTTTTGTTGTTGTTGTTGTTGTTGAAAATCCTGGTCAGGTGTTTTGTTGTGGATCTGGGGATGTGGTAGTACGCCAGTGTGTGTGGGTTTTCGCTGTGCCAGTCTCCTTGACTCGCTCGTAACACCAGATGCAGGTGAGGAGAGAGTGCGGCAGATGCTGCGCAAGTCCACGATCTCTGTGAACTCATTCAGGCGCAAGTCACCGTCTCTATTCTCATCCTGCTGCGGAGCACTCGGTGGACATAGTCGAAACCGGTGGTCAGACCGTCATGTGAGACGCAACTCACTCGCAAACCAGCAAAAATGAGTGTACCAAAGCTTTGAAATAACAATGAACGACGTTAAGGCGAATTAAGAACATAGAAGAAATATTAAAATTGATATTACGTTGTTTAGAGACACCAACGTTTTTAGAAAAGCGGAAAGTTCTGAAAACGTCAAAAATCGTTATAACTGAGTAAATTTAAGTTTTCGATGCACAGAAAGCCTTTTTATGCAAAAAACTGAGTAAATAAAACAGCACAAGTAGAATAGCGTCTGACAATAGTGCCTTAATGAAGTTTTCACCCAAATGCCATTCACAAATAAGTAAAATGTTAAATATGGCGGCTAGCAAACAGCACACGGGTTGAGTATAGACTCTAACACGGTTTCGCAAGAATTGGCTGTATTTTTCACGTTTTTCTATTGTTTGAGAAGCTAGCAGGTTCTCGCATGATTTCACCGACAGGGGCGTCACAGGAGTAAAAGTTTTCACAGGGTCATATGTTGACAGGCACGTCAGTGGCCAATAAATTTAAACTGAATTGTCAGGTACAGTCGTAAACATACAATTTTGTGCATATTAAGGGGACTTTCCTTCCGTCAAATCTCTTTATAGTTATTCCTGGTGCCTGGAGCACGATGAGTTTCAGACCGTCCTTGAAACAGCGGTGAATATTTCATGATTTGCAGTGATTTCAATAAACTGCCCACAAATGTACATTCTGCTCAATGTGTTTATCAAAACCTTGAAACCGTTTGCTAAAGTAGTGACTTCTCAGACATTTTCTAGTGCAAATAACCGCTTAGGTCATACTTTCGAACTCACCTAAACCTGGAACCTCATCGCCGAGAAAAATGAACGTCGACAATGAATATGGCCTAGATCAGTCAAAAACTTTCTCTCATAAGTTAATTTCCTAAAAAGCGATTCCACTATGTATTTTGCTGACGGAGGCCTGATAACTTTTTTCCAATGTCAAGTCAGGGCAAAGATTGGAACAGTTTATGCGATTTTTCACTTTCCTGCAGATTGATGGTCATTTTTCTGCTGAAAATTAAAGAGCTCATCATCCTCATTGGAGCTTTTTTGTTAAATTTATTTACTTATAGGCTCCGTTCTAATATTATAAATGCACAATAGGGTGACCTTACAAATACCTGAAACTGTTAACTCCTTGCCCGTTCCGTTTATAAATTACGCATTAGCTTAAATTAGACCGTACAAAAGGTATTACACCGTATGCATAAAGCTTAAAATAGCTAATTTGTGGAGGGCTTTTTCGCGGCAGGTTAGTAAGGAATCGCGAATGGCCGGAGAACATCAGAAGGTTTGAACAAATGATTGTCAATAGGCGTTAGTACTGCGTTTTAGAGCACGAAGTCACACAGATTTACAAATCCGACTTTAAAATCCGGATAACACCTCCAGTTTTACAAAAGAAACAACATGTCTGTTCAAACCCTATTTCATCTGACTTATGTGGTAAAAAAGTCTATTCTCGGGTGTGGCAAGTTCCGTTTGGTAGAACTCTCAAGTTTAAATTACTCTCTTCTCGCAGAAAAACCTACGCGAATGCTAGGATAGCTGTTGGCATAGGAAACCGCCGGAATATGAGAAAACGTAGATTTCGACTCAAACTTGTAAATAACTTGACTGTGAACATACTGCGCTTGTAAGGAAGACAGTTTTCAGAACAGGCTAGGCAAATAAGTAAAATATGCAGCATTTCAGTTGCCCACGTTTGTTCGTCTCAATTTTCATCATGCCTCCTGAGTTAGGTCACGTACTGCCTACATCACGCGCCGCTGTGCGGCTGCTGGTTGGGCTCGGGAGGGAGCGCCCGTAAGGCACAACGAAACGAGTGAGTTACGTAAGAATGATCGGTGAGCGCCCCCTACCATTGTATATTCCCGATCGAAAACCGACAGGGCAACGGGCTCTTGGCCCAGGGGTTAGGGGCGTGGACTTCTAACTAACAGATCGCGAGTTCGAGGCTCGGGTGTTTCACACTTCGGGCTTGAGTATGACTGGCTGACGATGGCCAGTAAGCCAGAAATGGCCATTCCAGTCTCCGTCGTCTTTGTCGGTAATAACATACTGCTCACGTACTGTAGTTTAATGTGAAGCAAACTCGTGAAGCACCCCCACTTCCATAACCCACCCTGGCTCCACTGGCAAGACAACGTGTGTCGTGAGCCGGTCTGACCCCCATCTCGATCCGGCACAGACTGTCGGGTGGGGGGCAGGTCGAAACGCATGCTGATGCGGTCGTGTCTGAGCCACACGACCCCATCCAGCCATCTGAGAACACACAAGGGTAGCATCGGACCGTCCAGCTATGTCCCTGCAAAGTTTGTCAGCTCTTCTCTACCGATGCACTCAGTGTGTAGCAGTTAGTAAATGAGTGTACTGAGACCGCTGCAATCATCAGGCCAAATCCCCTGTTGTAGCCAAGAAAAATAGAAGTCACCAGATTGGGGGGTTTATTATATACAGAGCCCCAAGTTGTCCTCGCAGGCGGTAGTGGCCTCTGGTGGGTCCAGGGCTAGTGTTGACTGCGTCCCGTCATGCCTGAGAGTTCTGTTAAACGGTAGTGGCAGTTGCTTTTAGTGGGAGCCAGGTTCAAGTGTTGTCCAATGGGTGTGTTGCATTTGCCGAGGGGTGGTTCGTTCAAGTGACGCGTGGGCAGCTGCGACTCTGTGGACGCACGTGTGTCTGCCTTGAATTCGGTCGAGTGGCTGCATGCCAGCCCGTGTGGAACCACTCGTTGTGAGCGGGAATGACCTTGAGACAAGGACGCCAGACATGGCCATAATGGTTGTCGACAAACGGTATATTGCCTCCCGAAGACAACATCAGCCTCCATCGAACGTGAAACCCAACCGCTGATGGTACAGTGAAAGGCATCTACCTCTTACGCACTGGCATCCCAGTCTGAGCCCTGCCAGACTTTACCTCTCTTGAAAGAAAAAAAAGACAAGCAGTAGGCCAAATTGAATAATGTGGCACTCGCAGACGGGGCGTCCAGCGTTGTCAGCCACTGCGCCTAACTCCATGGGTATTTGGTTAACAGTCTGGGAAATCCATCCACACGACAAATCAGTGCATTCTTTACTATAGTAAATCTGACTCGTCTGAATCTGTGAAGGCGCGCTGAAAGTGGTGACTTCTTAGGCTATCAACTGACGGGAATACCTCGGTCCTTCTCAGACAATAGCGGCTCCTTCATGTGGTCATTTGGCCTTCTAATCTGTGTGAGGTCCGAGGTCATGTGTGTGGCACGCGTAGACGGACTGCCTATCCCTGCCAACAACTGTGACTGCGCCTATCTCCGGTTGTTTTGTCTTCGTTGCGGGGTGGGTGAGGGCAGAGGGAGTAAGAGAGTGTGGTAGTTGCTGTGCACGTCTGATTCGTCCTAAACTGGTTCGCGCGCCCGCCCTTTAGGGACATCCGGTGGAGGTCGTGCTTGCAATTGTCAAGCGAGGAACATGCCTGTTGCAACCGTCCTCGCGGCGGGTTCACCAAGTGGATGAGGACAACCAACCTTCCTCAACGTTCAGTTTCAGGTTGCTGCTTTTACTGAAACCGATCAGGCCAGTTCTCTTAACAAGTTGACTTTACAACCAGTACTCAACTGCCGCGGCCGTTAACCCCCTAGACCACAGGGTTGCCTGTGATAATTGCATCGTGTGCGCGCGCCAAGATTATTCCTGCTTCTTGTTTTTTTTTCAGGTTGGCAACGCCGCACTGTGCACTCGGGTCTCCGAGGATCTGCTCTGGAAACACGGCATATATATCCAGTCGATAAATTACCCAACCGTGCCAAAGGGCAGTGAACGCCTCCGCATAGCGCCGTCTCCGTTTCACACGGACGAGCTGACTGACAAGCTGATAGATGCCCTGGTCAGTGTGTGGAGAGAAAACGGCCTCCCATTGGCCGTATAGCTGATTCAGTAATCACCCCCTCCCTCCTAATAATATCTTATTAGTTCACTCTTCGCATATTCGAATAAAACCTTTCACTTCCAGTCCTTCTAAGCCAGTATACCGCAGGTCTGCCCGGCGGTCTAACAGAGACTCCTGCCTTCATCGAGCGCCATAATTTTGCGTTGTCCAATAAAATCTGGCCTCAAGTTCGACGGGGAGTTTAGGGGTGGTAGCTGAGGGGTGGGCCTCTTCGCCAAACCTCTTTGGAGGGCCATCATGGCATTCGCGTCGCAGCCGAAGACTGTACGCGATCATTAGTTTGTTGTTCTTTGAAGTGCAGGCTCTGACAAAGCTCTACTTTAAGGTTCTTAACCTCCCTCAGCAGCCCTTGTCGGACCTTAGTTTAGATTCAGTTAGTTCGGAATGTTTTTTTCGGAGAGTTTGGGATGGGGTTTTGATTTTTCCCTCTTCACACACTAAAAAATCGAAGCCTTGGCCGGCATTTAGCGGACAGACGATTACGCGTCTAAACTTAAGGGCAGCCTGTAAGGTGGAGCTCTAAACTCACGACAGTGAGGGGAAAGTCGTAACCAGCCGTGATTAGGATCACAGTTCTCAGACAGAGTCTGCCGGGTCATACCTTCACTGCTGGGAAATTGAAACCCACCGAAGCCGCAGAATTTTTTTGCAGTTTGATCAGCTGAATCATTCAAATCTGCCAAAAGCGTCTACCGAAAAGAACCGCTAAGAGTACACTTGATTTCTCACCTGAAGTAATACAACCCTCCCATAACCGGTTTTGAAAAAGTCTTGAAGGGACAAGGTGAGTGGGCGTATCTAGTCGCCGCTCTAAAATTTGAACAATGCGTGTGGGGTCCGGGTTGAAGTCACTCGGAATGTACATTTGCTTACCCGTTGTCCAAACTAGTAAGGGCGCTCCGGAGAGGTAGGTTTGGAAAGCATTTGCACAAAAGCATGTTTGACGCGTATGAGGTGCGCAGGAATGGAGGGGAAAACGTCTTTCGGAAAGCTTTCCAACTGAGTAGTCCCGCCCTAGGCGCGTCAGTCACTGTGGGCAATAAATGCAGGCCTTCGAAACAAACAGTTCATGTCCAAATGAGGAGATGGTAGCCGCATGTCCAATTTTCCCGTACCCCGAAAACATGCCGTAAACACCTGACCCAACTCCACTTAAAGTTACCAGGACGCCTGCTCGATTCGCACAGAAGAGTACCCGGGAGGAGATGAGGCTGCGTCTGTGAAGGTCTAGGGTGAGTTCCAGTTCATGACGCGTACGTCATGCGGAAAGTGTGATATGGTGCGAGGGCCGCGGTTTTCGTTCGAGGCGAAGAAGATTGTGTTCAGCACATTTGCCCCCTTAAACGGGCCACGCAGTAAATGCGCTGAATCAACACGGGGCTAGACCGGAGTCCGGTAGGCGTCTATTGGGAATGAACACCCATAGCAAATACCAACATTCAGGGTGTTGTGGCACGCCAAGTTACAGGCCCATGACGCGCCCCTCTGGATCCGTGCCGCCTTTCCCTATTTTTCTTGATGCATTAGATTCTGGTCAGTGTGCCGTGTGGACCAGGAGGTATGGTAGTACGCCTAGTTGCGGGGTTTCCGCCGTGCCAGCCACCTGCTCCCCCTACCCTACCTCCGGTCTTCTTGACAACGGGCCCAGATGGGGGAGGAGGAGAGAGTGCGGTAAATGCAGAGGAAGTCTGGTATCACCTTAAACTAGCTCACGCGCAAGTCACCGTCCCTGCACTCACGCCCTGTGGAGCACACGGTGGGCGTCGTCGACATCGACGGCCGAGTTGTCTGTCCTGTTCAGCAAAGATCGAGAGAATGAGGGCGCTGTCGTGGCTAACGATCTCCTGGCGCCCGAGCACTCCCAGGCAGCAGCATGGTCTGTGCCACCGCGGGCGCTTAGGTCACCAAGGACAACCAGTTAGTCCGCCTTCAGTAAAGTCGTAAGGAGGGCGTGCATGGTCACGGGGCCGTCAAGGATTCCCTGTGGCAGTCAGAACAGCCGTCGCACGACGGTTCTGATGACAAAGGCGACTTCGCCAATAGAAGCGAAAAGAAGAGTCCCAAGGAGCAGGCTTGAAGAAGGAGACACGATCACTGGGACGAGAGCCTTATTAGCCTGGCGTTTCGGATCCCTGCTGGAACCCATCATCAGAGACAAAAGCAGATACGGGTGGTTCATATACAAGGGGCTGCAGTATTTATAGGATGCAGTAGCCATGCTACCGCATACCTATGAATATTCACGGCTCCCCCCCCTTCATCAGGGATGGTTGCACTTAGCGTGCTGACTGTTTGATGGCCGCCATTCGCGTCGTTAGTTGCTGCAATTTCATCGCGTGCGTTGGATGTTGGTGTGATGAGTGCTCGACCATCTGATTCACCAACCCTGGAGTTTGGAAGTGTTCACCTGTGCGTTCCCCGCGTGGCTATTTACTCCTCCTAGGCGAAGTCTCAGCACCGAGTATGGAAGGGGAAGGTCATTGCACTTGTAAATGGACTGGGGGCCAGTAAATCATGATTCAAGTACCTCCCGGCTCACGCGGTTGTCACCTCTTGCGAGAATTTCGGCCTCATCGAATTTAAATGTGTGGCCGGATCTCGTCGAATGAGTCGCAACTTGAGAGCTAGCATCCTTTCTCCGCACCGCTGCAGCGTGCCCGGCCATTCACGTTTGGAGTTGCCTTCCAGTTTCTCCGACGTAGTTGCTTTGTCCGCAACTGCATCAGATCCGATAAACGACTCCAGGCGTTTCTAGCCGTGGCAGTGGGTCTTTCGGTTTCATTACCTGACGCCTAATGGTTGCCTCCGGTCTGTGTGTAACTCCAACCCCAAGTGGTGCGAGAAGGCGGCCGACAGCTTCCGAAGCGTTCTTGACATACGGAAGCGCCCTCCAAGATTTGGTGTCCGTGCGGTTAGGCCTTTCGTCCGTTCTGCGTATGTACCGGTTGACGAAGTTGCGCGGGTAGCCATTGACTTTGAAGACCCGTCGGAGGTATTATAGTTCGGCAAGCTTGTCTTCCGGCTCGCTGCAGTGCGTTTCGACACGCCGATAGAGCGTCCTTACACAACTGCGTTTGAGCCACAAACTTGGGTTTGGAGTTGCACACAGACCGGAGGCAACCATCAGGCTTCAGGTTTGAGCAGGAATCCGAAACGTCAGGCTAATAAAGCTCTTGTCCCAGCGATCGTGTCTCCTTCTTCAACGGCGACTTTGCTTCTCGTTGCTCTGTCCTTGACCGACACTCACCTCCTCCAGTCGGCCCTGTTCACAGAAGCCAGTCTTATTTAGAGTAAACGCGTAAACGCTGGCACCAGCAGTCGCTCATCAGAATGGGGGATCCTGTTGATGCAGGTTAGGTAGACACATGAAGGGGTTTTAAGCAACATTACCTTTCTCTCCCCTGCGTCCCCCGACGTCCATCCCACATGGTTTTTTGGGGGAAGCGATAGGGGGAACGGAGCAGCAAATAATTTTGCCTTGTACCCACAGCGATGGGTACTTGCGAGGAAAAACCATGTTTTTTAGATGAGGCTGGCATAATCCTGCACACTCAACGCGTCCCGCGTGATAGTTGAAGCATTGCAAACTGCTGGATCTACGGTAGACGGCGTGTTTTTTTCTAATGAAATGTTAGCTGAGATTCGAAAACAATATTTTAGTTAGAGAACATCACTTAGGTGAGTTTGTAATGCTGAACGTACTGTGACATAATTCCAGGATATTTCAATTGCACCAGGATGCCAGCTTTTGAATGCACATCCCTTGTGATTCCTGTGAAGGCCAAACTCGCCAAAATAAGTGAGGTATTTTTCTATTTATTTTTCGACGGTTTTTTCTTTCCAACCACATTTTTTATGAACCATGCAGAAAAACATCCTATCTCGAGGAAAGTGTGTCTTTTAGTTCCAAAAAGGGCTGTAAGTTTCAAATCTGACCAGCCGTTCTATTTGCGTTCAGGAACTTTCAAACTAGAAGCTACATGCTTTCTGTGTAGGGAAAATCCTACATGGAATTTGCGCAGAGTAAAAATGGACCACGCTGTATCCTTCACAAGGAGCATTTATAAACGGACGGATATGATACTTCGATCGTCGTGGATGACGATGTCCACCGTGTGCTACACAGTAAGGTGCAACAGGCACGGTAATTTGCGCGGGAATTTAGTTTATGGCGTATGTAGATTTGCGCTGCATCTACCGCACTCTCTCCTCCTCCTTCACCTGGACCCGGTGTCAAGACATAGTCAAGAAGGCCGGAGGGGGCGAGGGTGCAGGTGGGTGACACAGTCGGGCTCGCACCTTGGTGTTCCACTCCGTACCCCCTGGTCCACACAGCAAATGACCAGGATTTTAGCCAACAACAGCAAAAGGGTGGCTGACACGGCCGGAGCCGCACCTAGGCTCGCTGTCACACCTGACTAGGATCCCATGCAGTGGGAGCGCCATAAGGGCCACATTAGGAAGGAGCCATTACAGCCTGACTCTTAGACCACCAGTCGGCTGCTCCACACAAACACACAACATTGGACCGACTGCAAGGTCCAAGTTATCCTATCAGTTGGCAACCTCCCAGGCCACGGCTTTTAGCGCGCCCTGATAGTTTCAAGCGCGTCAGACTGTGGTTTTTCGATACTGGCATAGCACACGCTTTCAGACCTTTTGACCTAGAAGGGTGACACGTGGCCCTGCATCTAGTCTGGGCCGTCAAGCTTCAATGTTACGTAACCAAACAGTCGTCAACTGAGAGGCCCTACCCATAAAACACACGCACATGCATGAAAGTGTCGCAAATCACTCATACACAAACGATAGTTCGACTGTCGCATCCGACAACGCCCACCGTATGCCCCACAGCAGATGTTGGGAGCAGGGACGGTGACTTGCGCAGGGGTTTATAGTGAGAGTAGACTTGCGCTGCATTTACCAAACTCCCCCCCCCCCACCTGTAACCGATGTCAAGACAGAGTCAAGAAGACCGG